ACCGAACTAGGGGCTAAGAGATATATGTTTCAGTTCTATTGGAAGAAGAACCATGGACTTGCGATCAAAATCTTGTTGTCTTGAGAAAATTACGACAAGGGGACCTGCCTATGGCGGTACCTTTAAATAGGGCTGATTTATGGCTATAGGTTCATGATGTACTAGTAGGATATTTTTCCCTGAAAAATGTGATTAAGATTGGCAATTTTGTCGGGAAGTTTATAAAAGTGGATGAATTTAACTTTTCTACTATATGGAATCCGTTCATGAGAATGAGAGTTAGTATTGATCTGAGTAGGCCACTAAAAAGGAAATTGCTTCTGCAAACGGATGAAGGGGTTAATTTTTATGTCAAGTTTAGCCGTTCAGGTATGAAAAATTGTCTAATTTTTGTTTTGTACATGAGATTATTGGACATGCAAAAATGTAATGTCCTCGCAACATTGAGGGCAGTAGGAAGAGTGAAGGGCTTCCGTTTGGTCAAGAGCTTAGGGCTACAAAAGGAAGAGCACAAGTAGGTGGCAATAAATGGCTAGTTCTACTTGGCAAAGGAAGAGGTAGGGATGAAGTGAGTGGAGCAGATACGTAAGAGTTGGAGGGTCACGACAGGAGACTAGACAGAGCAAACACATAGGAGGATTGAAAAAAAGGAGGAAGAACCAGTGCACAACGATATGGAGGCGGAGTCGGGGGTGCCAAAAAAAGGGGAAGAGGTGAGCTACAGTGTTGTAGCTCGCCTATCACAATGGTGAAGGTTGGAAAAGATGACCGGAAGGTGATGGTAGCAAGAGAACTCTGATAAGTTTTTATTTGCACACGCATTTGATGCATGTTTAGATCTACTTTTGATGATTTCCCTAATTATTTTGTGTCACAAGTCTCAATTTTAGCTCAAGTTATGTTTACCGAGCGTTGGTTCGAGTTTTATGTCTTTTGGAGTCAAAATCAGGAAATTTGAGCCCAGCACCAGCGTTTGAGAAGCAATCAGGACGATTTGAGAAGCAGTAGAGAGTGAATTGAGAGATTGGGAGGTCACCGGGAGGTTCACGATGAAGATTTGATGATAAAAGAGCTCTAGGATTGAGATCAAAAGAAGCCGAATAGAGTTTGAAAATGGCGGTCAGGATGACCTTCTGTCAATCGTTCAAGCATATCTCTTTGTAGAAGCATCCAAAGGACACGATTCAAGTCTCAAATGAAAGCCAACTTCGAGGGATACAAATCATATGAAGACACCATTCCGAGAATCTGAGAGGAAGAAGGTGAAAACAGACGATGAAGTCAGATAATCGCTATTGCAATTTCAGAATGCGACCTTCCATCATTGTATTCATATATTTTGATGGGATGATCCAAATCCAATTCGGGAAGTAGTGATGGATAGAGAACGTCATTATCTACAACTTTCATGAAAGAAGTTTTGTGAAATTAGGACCATAGAAGCCGGAAAACTCACTGGAATCCACGCACGCGTGCGTGAGGGGACGCACACGTGCGTCCAATGATTTTTACGCGCATGTCTGTCGGACGCACGGACGCCACGCACGTGTGCGTGGGTGTCGTGCGTGCGCCCCTGGAGTCCTAATTTCGCCCGAATTGCTCCATTTTCTCTATTTAAACAGCTTGTAAACCCCTGTTTTGAGGGAGGAACTTAGAGAGAGTGTCTAGCACGAAATTTAGAGAGCTTTTGAGCCATATTCATCGATCTTTTGGGATTCTTTGTAAGTTCCATCTTTTTAATTAATGACAATTATTTCTTTCTTCCCAATCCTGTTGATTCTTCAATTATGAGTTGTGAGTAGTTTTAATTCGGGATTTGGGATTGATGAAGGGGTTAAGCATGATGTATGGCTAGATTCTTGATGGATTAATTGCATGAATGTCGTTTAATTTGTGTTTGAATAATTTAACTGATATCTCTTGTAACCTAGAACGGCCGCTAGAATTACAATTGTTTGTAGAATAAATTAAGAGAGATCTAGTTTATTCTAAGACACATTCACACACACTTAATCGTTCGCTAAGAGATTAGTAGCGATTAAGGGGGCCGTAAGCTCGCTCATCTTGGCAATAATTTAGGATCCTGTCGCATGAGAGATCAGCCTGGTCCCCTAAATTATTGTACTCTACGTCGCGAGAGCGGTAAGAACTTAGTAATGACTAGCTAGGCTCAATTAAATTAATTTCATGTAATTCGACATGATCTGCCAGAAATCTGGTTACCCCGGAATCAATCTCTATTCCCTTCATCGTTAATTAGAAAGAACCCCTTAGCTTTAGTATTCGTTTAATTGCAAGTTAATTTTCCAATCAATCAAATCTCGCACAATTTATTTTATTTTATTTCTTTTTAATCGCTGAATTTAGTTAATCTTTGATTCCCTTTTGTCCATCGCTGTGGAGACGATACTCGTACTTACACCACTATATTACAATCTATTTTAAGCACGAGAAAACTCACATCAAACTCCATCGAATAAATTTTAATTATTTTTTTCTATTTTCATTTTACACATTTTTTTACTGTTTCTGTGATGTTTTTATGCTCGACAATGGGTTGGGGGTGGTAGTTTTTTTGTTGAGAGACAATCAGGCTGACTCAGCCACTAATAGCCTCAAAGTTTTCACATTTTCATCGATTAGTCTCGTTCTTTTTAGGTGGAGTATTCTACGTCTGATCGATAAGTGAGGGGCGTGTGGGCTTTTGGACATTGTTGGTTAGAGGGGGGTTCATGTATCTGGTTATTGGTGGTTCTTGGGATTATTCCATTTTAATACTCCCTCCGGTCCTAAATAAACTTCACACTTTGACTTCACACAAATTAAGGAAATAAATTTGACCTTACTGTAGAGTATATACTGTTGTGACACTGTTTGACACTATTTTGCACTGTTTTGATGTAGATAATTTGCCAAATAAGGAAGGGAAAAGAAGTGTAAAGTTTATTTTGGACCTACCCAAAATGGAAAATGTGAAGTTTATTTAGGACCAGATAGAGTATAAGTTATTTCCTCAAAAAAAGTACGAGTAATTAATTGTGTAGAAAAAGTGGCTTTTCTGTGGAGTCTGATACAATATTTAGAGCCCGTTTGGTAATATCAAAATCGCCTGAATCGCCTGATTCTGTTAAAGTTTATCAAATTCTGGCTGAAGTGGCTGATTCTGCTGATTTCTTAAAAAAAATTGAAATATATTTTATTAATAAAATAAAGAAAAAATTAGTAAAAAAAGTTAAAATGGTCATCTACAGTAACTTCATCCGATACAGCCAGAAAAGTAACTATTACCTTACTTTTTTTATTATTACACAATTCAACGCACGAAATAAAAAATCACATGTTTGGTGAAGAAGTTATCTGATAAGTCTGATAAACCGAAAAACTGGGCTATCAAACGGGCTCTTAAGGACTACATTGGAGAGTTTGATTACAATATGAAAAAATAGTAGGAGTAATTAATTGTGTTGACAAAGTAGCTTTGCGAGAGGGTGGAAATATAGAAAATATAAAATAGAAAAGTAATAGTAATCAAATATTTTTAATGAAAATTATCAAAAAGAAAAAAGTGTAAAAACGGGTTTTTTCAAAAATATTATAAAAAATGTATTCACACAAATTTGATTAGAAAAACTGCCCTAAATAGGAGTAAATGAGGTTTGTAATTGCAAACTAGGAACACTAAGTTTTTCTTTCCAAAATAGAAGTTGTTACTGTCATGTATGAAAAATACTGTTATGATTGAAAAATACTGGCACTATTTATAATAAATATTGTCATGTTAAATGCACTGTACTGCAATTATTTGACAGTCACGCCTAGAAGATTGCAATAAATACTGTCATGTTAGACCTATTTCGGGAATAAAAATATACTATAATAGTCCTATTTTGGAATTTCAAACTCTACTAACTCCTATTTTTGGAAATCTCCCATTTGATTAATAGTTACTACAATGTAGGATTATGATAACTAAAGTTTTAAAAGTAAACATAAATTACTATGATTTCGGTACTTGTCTAGTCATAAGTCACATTTTTGTAGACATTTTTTATTTTAGTTATAAGGATGAAATCGAAAAAAATATGTATAAAAGAAAAGAAAGTATACCAAACATTGGTAAAATACACCGTACGGCCGGCTGTACGGTGCTCACCGTACAGCTGGGTTTTTTTGTAATTAAATCTCCGCGATTCAGCCTTGCAACTCGCGATTTAGACCTGCAACTCACCAACGAAGATGACGAAGGACGGCAGATCGAAAGTCTGGTGCAACTCACGAATGCAGATCGCCGATAGCCAAGCTTCCAAGTACAACTCACGAGTCACGACTGAGATTCTTAGCCGATGCAGAGACAACTCTACCCCTGCGAGCGATTCCTATTCTTCACACTTTATTTTTCCGTCTCTGCTAATTACTGGTCTGCTACATGGGCTGTCATAGTTTTTTATACAAAATGAAATTATGAGCATGGTAGACATTTCGAATGAGTTTTATGATTGCTCATTTTGTAATTTATGTATACTCATTTGATATTTGCTTAATACTCATTTTAAATGAAATGAGTTTTATGTTAAACTCAAATGAGTATAACGCCCAAAAAGAATGAGCACACACAAATGAACCTTTTAATTATTTGATACTAACTTGTAAATTATGTATGCTCATTTTAAAATGTTGAACATTTCAAATGTATCGTACTAAACGAAAAAATAATAAACCAAAAGTGATATATAAGATTTGAAGCAGAGATCACTGATTCTCACAGTTAGGCTCTTAATACTCAAAAGAACATGATTGATGCTCATCAAAGTTGCATAAATGCTCATTTAGGAGAATCCACGATTTTCACAAAAATTTCAATTTTGCCACTGGTTGTACGGTGATCACTGTACAGCCGGCTGTACAGTATAAGTGTTCACCAAACATTTGAACACCTGGCAAGTTTGAAAACGATATGTTTTGTTTTTTTTTTTGGTTTTGAAACGATATCGTTTGCGCAAAATAATACTCCGGTCACAAATGTTTTTTTAGACCAAAAAAAATATTTTTCTTATGCAATGACAAACTCTTAAATGAGAAGTTGATTTAGGGCGGAGAGCCTAATAATTTTGGGATTGAATGAAAAAGATTGAGCCGGACTGAGACCTAAAGATCGAAGAAGTGTAAAAAACTGAGCCCAAGGAGAAGACGAGCAGCAATTAGAAAATCTGAGATCGAGCACAGCAAGTTTGAGTCAATGGACTCTGCTGTAGTGGATAGAATCATAGAGAAGCTAACGGAAGTCCGATCTTCAAAGCCAGGGAAATTAGTTCAACTTACTGAGTCAGAAATCAAGCAGCTTTGTGTGGCCTCTCGAGATATTTTCATGAAACAACCCAATCTTCTTGAACTAGAAGCACCCATCAAAATTTGTGGTACCCCCTTTTCCATTAACAATTTTTAAGTATTTTTGTTTTTAGTTAGATCTTTGGGTTCATTTCTTTCTGTTAGAGTGTTTTTGGGTTTGGTCGTTCTCTTGCCAGTGTGTTTTCTCTAGATGAAACCTGTTCTGGAATTTGTGCTGATATAATTATTGCTGTTAAAATTGTGGTTGTTATCAGTATTGTTATTATTTGTATTGTTATTGTTGTTGTAATGTAGTTGGTTGTTGGAATTTTTAGGCTAGTTGTTTTGTAAGATTAAAATTTGATATGGTTGGTCTTGACACAACATATCATGCTTGCAAATACTGTGCACAAAATGGAGGAATTTAGTTTTTCTTCTCTAATTAATCAATTCTCTTAGTGTCTTAAGATGAGTAGACTGTTATCGTGTTATGTTTTGAGGAAGTGATTTCTTGTGGTCATTTAATTGAATTTATTCCTTTCAGGTGTAATAATCTCTATATTGATATTATTGTCAGTAGACAGTTATCTTTCATATTAATGAGTTATACTAGTTGAGAATTCAAAGAGTATGAATGAGTAACTATAAAATGGCAAACAAATGGTTAGAATATGTTTGGTTTGATTGTTTGAAGAGAAGGGAGATTCTCCTCTCCCAATGTTTAATTTAAAATTTCAGAAAAGGAGGGGAGCCTAATTTTCTTGTCTCCCCTGAACCAAACACACATAAAATACTGTTAAATTGGGCCATCCCAACTGCTTGCACAGTATTTATGTACAAACTACCGTTGAAAGTTACATGAACCATCATTTCACTCTAACCCTTATTTACATCAATTTGTTGTATTAAAAATCAAACATTCTCCTAATATTCAATTCTACCTACTTTTATCACTATTTTATTGCAAAGGAATCGATTTAACCTCGACAGTTTTGGCGAAATAGCCCCTGGTTTGGATGGAATGTTGTGCGAAGTTGTAAATGCAGTTCATGGGTGTATGTTAAGGTTTTTTAAGGGCTTGCTTTTTTCATATTTAGTGTGGGATTTTGAAGTTGAGGGTCAGAAATTTTTGTTTCATTAGTTTATCACTGTTTTGTTAGTCTTAAGGAGTGTTTGCTACAGCTTTAGAAAAGTGTTTTTCAGCTTTTGGCTTTAAAAAGCTGAAAAGAATGTTTTCAAATGACAGCTTCTACTTAAATTAATCACTTAAAAGCTAAAATCTGGAAGCAGGTGGAAGAGTGCTTTAAACTACTTTTCACTTTTTCTATTACACAAAAAGCACTTATTTTACCAAGCACTACTAACTTGTACTTTTTCAGAATCACTTTTTTCTCAAACACTACCAACTTTTACTATTAAGTACTTTCTCCAAAATCACCTTAAAAAATCACTTTTTTGAAGTAGAAGCAATCGCAAACACTCCCTTAGACACTTAGACTACCTATTAGTTAATGACTATATGTTTACTCAAATCAATAATCTATGCTTCTGTATAGCTTTTCATGTTCACCATCTTTCCAGACATCTAAAGTTAAGAATTAACCAATCAAATCATTATTACCTCTCCCTCCAGAATCTACCAACCAAACAAGGGCTAACTATTTTCCAAGCTCAGCTATGGGTTTTAAATAATGAGGGGGATTGATGGGTCAAGGACTCAAAGGGATATTAGTGATCTAGTTCACTTTTTTTACAAGAATGACATCACTATCTCTGTTCTTTCTTTAATTACTTCCTTTAATGCCCCTATGATTTTCACCTCATTATTTATAATCTTCTTCATGGTTTCAGGGGACATTCATGGTCAGTACAGTGACCTATTGCGCCTTTTTGAATATGGAGGGTTTCCTCCCAATGCAAATTATCTATTTTTAGGCGACTACGTAGACCGTGGCAAACAGAGTTTGGAAACCATATGCCTCTTGCTTGCTTACAAAATCAAATACCCAGAAAACTTCTTTCTTCTTAGAGGAAACCATGAATGTGCTTCAATAAACAGGATATATGGATTTTATGATGAATGTAAAAGGAGGTTTAATGTAAGACTTTGGAAAGCCTTTACCGACTGTTTTAACTGTCTTCCTGTGGCGGCTCTTGTTGATGATAAGATATTGTGCATGCACGGGGGTTTATCCCCTGACCTATCCAATTTAGACCAAATCAGGAACTTGCCTCGTCCAACAGCTATTCCGGACACGGGCTTGCTTTGTGATTTGCTTTGGTCAGATCCAGGTAAAGATGTGAAGGGGTGGGGGATGAATGATAGAGGAGTTTCTTTTACCTTTGGACCAGATAAAGTGTCCGAGTTTTTAACAAAGCACGATTTGGATCTTGTTTGCCGGGCCCATCAAGTAATTAATGTTCCTCTTTTTCTGTTTTTCTTGACTATTTTGAGTGTGCTTGGATCCTGGAAAATTGCTAGCGGAAGATGAAAAGTAATGCATATGAAAGTTATTTTTTTGTGTTTGGTTTACTTCTGGAAATTCAAAAGAAGGTGAATTATGCTTGATGTCATTTTTTAGATATGTTTATATTTATTAGCTTTGTAAACTAAATGGAGCCAAAGACTCACTATTTTCTGGCTTGAAAATATGATGGAATAAAGCAAAATGGCTCACCAAACTGTCTGCACTTTTCTTTGTTATGAAGCTGCAGTCAGTACATGCAATTTTGGACGCGATTTTTCAGTTTTCACTATGGGTCATCCGGAAACAGTCTCTCTGTGCTTTACTACTGGGGTAAGACTGCGTACATCCGACCCCCTTACCCCACCGTAGGTGGGAGCCTTTGCGGCACTGGGGTAATGATGATGGTGATGATGTAAACTAAAAAATGAGTTTAGTTTTAACAATTGAGTTTGAGCTTATCTTTTATTTGCATCCAATTTTTCCTTCTCTTTCACTTATTCTCTCTATCTTTCTCCTTTTCTTAGTATTTTTTGAGTTCGAAATGGAGCATAGGTTATTAAAAGGATGCGTGTAGTTGTACCCAGAGGGAAGGCATGGAAAGGAATAAAATGCCAAAGAAAGTTAATTTTCATGTATACCTGTTGAATTGAAAAAAATGGAATAATTGTTTTTGATTTGATTTGGTTTAACTGTCCTCAGCCCCTATCTGCTATATTAAATGCAGTTTAGCACAGAAAGTTAGTCCGATTTGTTTGTATTAGGAAATCAAAGGATATTATATTACTGATCCTCCAAATTGGCCTAGGAATTATTTCTACAACATTTACTTTTGTACCTTAAAAGAAATAGTCTGGTTTTAAAGATTAACTTAGGGTTGATTGGTCATTTTATAAGGTCCCTTGATGGTATAATTTGTATCCAGTTTTCTTGAACATCAAATCTTTTTGTTTTAGATGGAGTAAAATATTAGAAATAGAGAAATAAAATGGGTTCGCTAAAATGCCAAAAAAGATGTATTGAGTATGAACCGATGTTTTTATTTTGCCCCACATTTTATTTCCTTAAAAAATTCCCTTCATTTTTCTACTAGTCTAGTCTCTTTTCTTAGCATTTTTCAATGTTCCGAGCAGACATTAATGTTACTGTTTGTCCGTGTAAAATCTTTATTCTTTGGTTCACAGGTTGTGGAGGATGGGTATGAATTCTTTGCTGACAGGCAGCTAGTCACAATTTTTTCTGCACCCAACTACTGTGGAGAGTTTGATAACGCTGGTGCAATGATGAGTGTTGATGAGAACTTGATGTGCTCTTTTCAGATTCTAAAACCCGCTGAGAAGAAAAATAAGTTTATGGCATCAACAAAAATGTGATTTCGTTCATCAGTAACTACTTGAAATTTATGAAAGGTGTGCTATATATCCTACTCTGTTCATTTTGCATAGGTGCTGCATGTACAGTGCATTGGGTGTGTCAGTGTGTGCCCATATCTGATTGACTGTGGTGTAACCAATATCCTAAGATTATCCCCATAGGCGCTAGCTATTGCTATGATCTTGAATCTGAACCGGAATGAGAACCGGAATATCCAAAGTCATACGACTGAAGACCAGACTGAAATATTGAATTGGTATGGCACTGAAACTGTATTTTCTTTTAGAATTGGCTTTGCTAGACCTTAATCTTTTTAAAATATTTTAGAGTAACTCAGTAAAGTTTTGTTTGTCTATGTATGTATGTAACAATCCCTCAGTCCCATTTTCTATGGTACACTTTCCTTTTATAATGTCCCAAAAATATGAATACTTTTCTAATGTAAACTCTACTAGCTTTTTAGTTTTCCACTTTATCCTTTTATCTCGCATTTCATTTTTTTCTTTTTGTGAACTCATACTACTCTTTCTTTCTTTTGGAGGTTATACAATAGTAAAGGAATACTCATATCCTTTATTTTGTTAAAGCAGTGCCAAACCAAAATGCATCTTACTTTTTGGGTGAAGGGAGTACATGTTTAAAAGGATAATGTTTGAAATATGTGTACTAAGATTCTAAGAATTATATGTTAGATAATAAAATATTCAAACAAATCATATTATTTTTAATTGCAATCCAACCCGTCTGGACTGTACTTTTTGAGGTTCAGACTGGACCAGAATCCTTAAAACCTTGGACCAAAGACCGGACCGGTGTGTAGTTGGTCCGTCTTGGATCAGCCGTCTGGTTTTGAACAGACCAGTTTGGAATCTGGGCCACCTTTGGGTCTAGTTGATGGCTGGATCAAGTTTTTTTGCACTAGTTATCACTTGACTGTAACCATGGACTCATGGTTTACACTAGAATTAACTAGAAGCAGGGAAAAGGGTCCAGGAATACTTTGGAATTGACAAAAAGGGAGCTTACCTCACTCCATTCCCTTGAGTGCTGATTCTCATGCATTCCTTTGACAATACGTATCATGTATTTTATCTGTACAACAACAACAACAAAACAACATCCAAGCCTTATTCCCAAAAGATTTTGAGGTCGGCTAACATGAATCGATCCATGATATCAGAGCCAAAAAGTGAAGAAAGATAGGAAAAATAAAAAGATAAAGTAAGATACAATGTATAAGATAAAGATTAAAGATAAAAGATCAAAAGACAAAAGAGCACAAGATAGATAAAAGATAAAAATAACATAAGAACATACAAAGATAAAGAAGATAAAAGATAAAAGATAGAGACAGAGAGAAGAGAGAAAAAAGATCAATCGTCCACACGATTATTCATATTTGGATGCATGTCATGTGACTAAGTGATACTGTTGGCCGTGACGTGCCTACCACAGCACCCTCCTCCATCATGTATTTTATCGGTATTGTTTTTGTTTTTATTTTTACTGCGGAGTATTATTATATTGGTGTAGTGTCAAGAGTCTTGATAGTTTGGTTAAAATAGCAAGCTGAATTATGTTTCATCAATTTCCTCTAGTAGTTATGACCAAGGAAGTCAAAGTCGTGAGCCGCACTCAAGGCGCTAGAGTTCTCATATTGTCTCACTTAGCGGGTCACTGCTTATTAACGAACTACTAAAGTTACTGCAAAGTAAAATGAAACATCACATGGCCCTACATGAACTCTGAAAGTACCACTACGGTCATTTGGCATTAATTTTTTTTATATTTTTGTCCATTATTCCTTTATATTTGACCTTCTATAATTAATTGATACCCAGCTTCCCACAGTTTTTCTTTTTTAAACAAACCTTGAACAGACCGAGCGTGAACATGTGGTTGTTCAGATAAGTGAAGACCCAAACAGGGTCTGGCCATAGCTAAATTCAAACACTCCATGTTCGGCTTAGCTTCTTTTGAACCAAACACACCTTTATAAAGTTTATGGCTTACCTTTATTTAAATGTATATTCAGTGTGCAACACAAGTATTATTCACTTTATTCTTACAATTAACATCATTTTGCTCTCATGTAGACATTTTATCCTAAATAGAGGAAAGCACTATTTATCAACGGATGGTAATCATGGTGGTTCATTCTCATTGACACATTGGCATAGTACAACTGGAGAAAATCAACGGCACAAACTGTCTCTTTTCCTTGAGCTCTGCCAAATGCTTGGATGTGATGCTGATTAACCAACACTAGCACGATGACATATCTTGTTACAGCTTTATGTTTACCTATCTTCTAATGCAATCGTAGTCTTGTAGTATCTGCAATTTTTAGTCTTTTGTCTCAGAAGTGTTATTCTATAGTTAATTGCATTTTCTGAGGATCAAGGCCATGGCACATGAAACGAGTTAGTTATTTATAGGGGTACGCTGGTTGTCCAACCAATTTACTTGCTTTCTACTTTTTATTCGGCAGGCTTGATTACATTCATGTTTAACTTGGCATGACGGGATGATGACATAAATGAGTTAATGGCTATATAATCTTTCACGCTATTGACACATCATTTAGCTCTCTTTCTATGACATTCATTCGGATTTCGGAATATGTAGCGTGGATTCTCATATAAATATGGTTAGTATGATAGTATCCATTGGTTGATTACCAAGAGTTTCCATTTTCTCCATATAACTATGGTTGGACCTGGTCCACCGGTCCTGACCAACCCGGATTGGAGCCCGTTACTATGTAGGACCAGCTCAGGACTGGTTTTCTGATCTTGGTCAATGCCCCTGATCAACGTTACCTGGTCTCGGGGTGCGGTTTCTATGGATCGGGACTTGCCAGTCGTGGGCTCGGTCCTGTCCAAACGGCAAAATATTTTTTCCTCCCGTTTAGTTGAGAGGGCTTGTTTTGAATGTAGGAGGAGCCTCTAACAACTAAAAGCGGTTAGATCCGTATCCACTAGAAATTCCCAAGCTATAATTTTTCTTGCACCACTTGCAAGTTGCGTTCCAATTCTCGGTCTTCGGCTCCTTCCACTTATCAAAATTATTAAGCATTAGTTAAGATTTACTTTTTTTCGTACTAGTTTGGAATGAGGCAGACTCGTCGGCTTCGTGGCTGCCGCCACCCTCCTCTGCGTCGGCGTCATGGCTCTCCGTAATCACTTCCTACATATAGTCATCCTCGAGCTCTTCTTTGTCAATGCTCCTCGGCTGGTTTTGGAAAAAGCGGCTATTATGTCGGTGCAATTCTTGTTCTAGTTGTTCGTCGGTCATCACATCCTCATCCTTCCTTGCATAACTCGTATCAAAATCATCCTTGCTTTGAGATGAAGAGCCGATATGTGATTTACCTTTGCGGGATCTCTTCTTCCTCACAAGCTCGTTCGTTCGGTTGCGGTCGAGGTTACCCATATCAACCGAATATCTACCACCTTCCATCTTAAAAATGTAATATAAGTAATATAATACTACGTATATGTATTTATAAGTAGATTATTAATATATACTCCCTCCAATTCTTAATTAATTTTACATTTTCCTTTTTGGATCGTCTCATATTAAACTTTACACTTCCTTATTTGCCTTATTTGGCAAACAAATCTACACCAAACAGTGCGAAACAGTGTCAAACAGTGTATTTTACAGTAAAGTCAAATTTATTTTCTTAATATGTGTGAAGTCAAAGTGTAAACTTTATTAAGAACCGAAGGGAGTAAGTAGATAAGAAATATAAGTAATATAAATATATGTATTTATAAGTACATAAATAATACTCCCTCCGTCTCTAAAAGGATTGCCAAGTTTGACCGACACGTAGAATAATAAAGTAAAAACTGTGTGGTAGAGATTTGTGCAGAGGAGAGAGAAATAACAGGAACCACAAATTGATTGACTAAAAGGGAAAGTGCCAAAATTTTTGGGACAACCAAAAAAGGAAAGTTGGCAAAGTTATAAGGGACGGAGGGAGTATAAGTATATAATATATTGCAGAATAAGAGAATTTGAGAAGATGAAGATGAAGATAATTAGAGAGTAGAGAGTAGGATTTAGGAAGAGTTGGAGAAGAGATATGGAAAAATGTTTAAGATTAAGAATATTTATAGTTTTTTTACCCCACCACCACCCCACCCCCACCCCACCCCCCAAACTGCCCGAACCCCCCCGGCAGCCCACCCAACGGCTATATAGCCATTTGGGTAGTCCCCAGCCCACCCCCAACGGCTCTATTAGCCCAAATACAATTCTTTTTTTAATATAGCTTTTGTGACCCTGACCCGGACCCGACCTTGATCCGGGCCCAACCCCGACCTGGGCCCGACCCGGCCAGGCCGGGTCACGTTTTTCCGGAACCGAGCCCCCCCCCCCCCCCCCCCCCCCCCCGCCCCCGCCCCCCGATTCGGGTCTACACCCGATCCCGCACAATAGCGGGCCAGGCCGGGTCACGAGCCGGGTGGCCCGAACCGAATCCACCCCCAAGTTGGGGGTTGGGGGTGGAATGTGGAATCCACCCCCAATTTAAAATATCAATAAATATCTATGATCTAAAAATATTTTTCTTAGGCTTGGGGGTTTGGGAGTGGAGTGTTAGGCAGTTGGGGCCTTGGGGGAGGTTAAAAATATCAATAAATATTTATGATCTAATAAAAAGCTTACACATTCCTTCTATAATTTCCCGTTCTCTCTACTTTTGCACTCTTATTCTTTATTATGGAAGCAATGTTAGCTCATTATGCAACCAATAAGAATGTGTCAGATGACATGTTTTAATATTTTATGCATACTATTTTCATTGTTGAAAGATTTTGTATTTGGAAAAATATGAAAGTAATGTTTATGGTAAGCTATGAAGTCACTTCTATATGAAACATTATTGAACACTCTTTCAAGCAGTCCCATGGTAATAATGAAATAATTGTTGTGTTTTTGTGTTATATATTCAAATGTTATGTACTATTTTCAAATTCAATAAAGTTTTGTTTTCACTATTATAATGTCTGTACTCATATAATGTTTTGAAATTTATAATAATTTGAAATTTATCGTTAATTATTACTCTGCGTCATTTGGTTAGCCATTACTTATACATATAAGTTTTAATGTCTATAGTCTTTTGTGTATATTAAATTATTATTGAGTGATAGGCACTAGTTGTTAGTGCATAAGTATACATTTTTATTATTGTTTGTGATGATTATTTACTATTATTGTGGAAGTTTGTAATCATTAGTTTAATTTGATTGTAATTGTATTTTTAACATTTAATTGTATGTTATAAGTTGTATTGAGTTGGGCTATAAGTTTAGAATAGGTTTGAAAGCAAAAAGATGAAGAAACATGAGTTTTATGGAAAACCCGGTCGGGTATGGTCTTTACCCGGCCGGGTATGAAGTGAAAAAAGAAATTGCTGCAAAACTAGCAAATACCCGCTCGGGTATTCCCTATATCCGGGTCGGGTATGAAGTGATTTCGGACAAACGAACGTGCAGAAGAACACAAAGACGTGGGAAAAAAGTTTTGATTTGACAAATACCCGGTCGGGTATGTCAAATACCCGACCAGGTATCCAGCCGTAGGTGTTGAAAACACCTATAAATAACTCCATTTTCCTTCACTTTTAATCATCCCTTCTTCCATATACTTAAGCTCAACTTAGCATAGTATTTTCTTTATAATTTTCTAACATGTTTAGTCTCCAAATGAGGAGCTAAACTTCCATTTCTTGATTTTGCAGTTTTGCTCTTGAAGCTTATTGATTATTAAAGTTGTGAGTTATTTTCTTAACTTCTCTCCTTGAATATTAATTTTTCCCTTAATCTATCTCTATATTAATGTTGGGGAGTGTTGCTAAGATGACAATTAGTTAACATCTCAATATTAATTATTACTAGAAACGATCAACGAACCGATGGTTAATCGTTGATGGTTTCACAAGTAAGTAACTTCGGTTTATTAATGCACGGTCGTGGTTAATAAACTTAAGAGGGATTAATTTTGTTGGTTAAACTGAAACCGTTGCGTTGAAGTTATCAATCTCAGTTGATTTCATGAAGGAGTTACAAAGATTAAATGCTACTATTAAATCGATATAAGGCGTTGTTCTATATTTGATTAATAGTAAGAGTTATTAATGCACGGTCGTGGTTAAAAACTACCCTCGATGCAGGGCCGACCATGGGGGGAGGTAGCCTAGACATTTGTCTAGGGCCTCCAAATTTTGTAGGGCCTCCATTTTTTTAAAAAATAATATTATATATACTTAAATCCTTAATTTAATTAATTGAAATACTTAAAAATTAGTTTAGAACTAAAGCTACGTTGATGCAAAATATAAAAAATCAAAATTAGTAATTTTCTTACCAAATTTGCTATTAGAATCTCCATGTGTTTTTCACTCTTTTATTGCTTACAATCAAAGAATGATATTCTTTGCATCAGTAACACATGGTATATTTTGGACTGTACTTTACTTCTATTCGGGGCGTAATTAGAATGTCCTTTTTATTTTTTAGGCTCCGATCCTCTCCAAATTTGTAAAATAATTATATGTATTTACATGTTAAAAGATTGTGTAAACACAAAAAAACTTACCAATTCAAGCCACATTAGTATTTCTTTTTGGCTATGTCATTCCTGTTTATTTCATATTATAGTTTTTGTATTTTTTTTACTAAAAAATATATTGAAGTTATACTCTCTCTACTTCGCTAAAATTGTTTCATCTTTAATTTTTAGCCTATGCATTAATAATGTCACATATCAAATTTGACAAAATTTGTGTGGTTCTAAATCATGCTTATTTTATCACTTCAATATCAACCACAAACTAAATTGTTTTAATAATTGTACAACTTTATCATAACCTAGCGTTACTGAGACGAGAGTACGTTTTATCTCATAAGTAAATACGGAGTATTATTTGGTTGTCTAGGGCCTCAAAATTGCTCTAGATAGCCTTGCCTCGATGAATTGGAGATACTCCTCGATTGAGTATTCGAGGATAAGTTATATATATAATCGGGATCAACAAATATATCAACAAGTGGAAAGTAGCAAAGCCAAGTCTTTTATCTCATTAATTAAAATCATATAAGTCGTTCATCTTAGTGTTTAATTAAATTAAATCACTCAATCCCAAAATCCCCCTTTTATTTACTAGTTCATAAAAAAGAGAGTTATTCCTTTCCTTATGGATACAAACTCTACTTCACTATACATATAAGTGTTAGTATCGAAATTATTTTGACGCACTACAACAAAGTGCTCGTCATTGAGCAAATTAGAATACAATTGAAAAAATCGAGTGTTAATTATTCATAATGTTACGCACTATTTTTTATATAGGGAGAATTTGACTTTGCAATCCACTTTTTGGGTGATATTGGAATTTGCACTCAATTTAGAAAAAACATTGATTTTGCACCACACAACATAACATTTTGTGAAGAAAAATTTCAGAATGGTGTGCAAAGTCAAAGAATTTTTAACTAGAATGGGTGCAAAGTCAAAATTTTTTAAAAACGGGATGCGAAATCCAATATCACCTAAAAAGTGGGGTGCAAAGTCAAATTTCCCTTTTGACGTATAGTCCTTTGTTTCATCAAGTGTAAGTGTGTAACTAAGTGTTATCCTTTAAATGCTTTGTAAACTTTTTTTGGTTGTACTCTCCTTTTTCATAGTATTTGTTTTGTTAAATGTCAACATCCTTGATTGAGATGATTTTCGAATCTGTGACCTCCTCCATGATCTATTTATTTTCAATGAATAAAATGTACTCCAATAACTTTATCATTATTAACAAGAAAAATCAAAATTAGCTAACTACAAAAGAACATCACAAATTTATGACAATAAACTTGTATTATGACGCATCACTTGAGAGACACAAACTTCTTTTTATTGGTACAAACAGTCCGATTGAAATAATCAAATCTGAAACAATCATGATTACAGTTATGGTATACTACTCAACCCCCACAATAATTCTACGAGAAGACGTAAAATCGACCACTCACGAAAATCATCTCAAACTGCTAACCACTTGTGAGCATCTTGAAGCCAAGTATAACCTCACTAGAAGTGAACTTAATAAAAGTTTACCCTCACAGAAAGCTAAATCACAAAGAACAAAAGTAATAATATTTTAATTAGAAATTGCCCTAAATAGGAGCAAAAACATTCTGAAATTCCAAAATAGGAGTATCATGCTTTTTATTTCTTGAATAGGAGTAATCTGCCAAGTTTGGAAAAAAATGCCATAGCTTAGTAATCCAAACTTGGCAGAAATTTACTCCTATTTAGAGAATGAAAACATGATACTTCTATTTTGGAATTTCAAAAGTTTTTTACTCCTATTTAGGGAATTTACTCTATTTTAATTGGATTGAGATTTTCTAGTCTCGTTTATTTAAGTCTGATTTGATCTAATTTGGTATGATAACAAAATGTTTTATGTGTATTCTACTATTGTCTAATTTCGACCTGATTTCGTCTGATTTGACTAGTGTATCTAAATTTGATTTGATCTGATCTAGTGTGTGTGAAAAACTCCGATTAAAACACTCTAATTAAAAATGTCTTATGTGAAAAACCAAATAGTACGAATGGTATAATAGAATTCAAAGAAATCGAACAACTTCATATCAACATTAGTGATCCACAAATCACTCTAGTCAAGTTGGCCATCCGCCAAGGAAAAATTAAAGTATATCTCCAAAAGTGCATGTATTTCATTCGTCCCATGACCAGAAAGGAACAAACAGAATTCTTGCTTCTAGAAGAGTTTGTTAAAATCACACTAGACTAGACACCCATTCAAGCACCATTTTCATCTCATAATACTAGTACCTGAGTGTGATTCAAGAGGGGTGAATAACCAAGACCTCTTATACATCCACAATTACTTAACTTCAAAATTCCAAAAAAGAAAACTAGGTACACAATTGCTAGTCAAACACATAAATACTCGATAACTCGATCCGCCAATGAGGAATACATCAACTCTGGACATCGTTTGGAAACTAACATACCAAATTAAATGAAAACAACAGCATGAGAGATACATATTATGTCCAATTGAAAGAAGAAACGGAGAAGAAATAAGAAGAAGAGCTCGCTTAGAGTTTGAGCGCTTGTTTGATACGTAGTAATACTAAAATTGGCTGAATCGACTGATTCTACTGAAATTGATGTTCTGGCTGAAGTAGCTAGATTGATTTGATGAATAGTATACCCGGGGTAGCTTATCCGAGGGTTATTGCAGGGAATAACTTAGAGAGAAGTCAGAGCACAAGTAAGTAAGAGAGAGAGTGTATTCAGTATGAATGTCGTGGTTTACAACGGGGAAAAGGGGGTGCTATTTATAGTAGCAATAAATGCCGGACAGGGACACGTGTCAAGCATCCATTGGCCGAGAGGTCACCTCATCCGGTTGGCGCTGGCAACCGCATGTGGCCGCATTTAATGCGGCTGTTGGATGGGACGTTGTACAGGGTACGGTGATCTGTACGCGCGTGAAGAGGAGATCTTGTCGAGTAAGGTGCCTTCGTTAAAAACCTCATTAGGAAAAACCCTGTGGGAAAAAATCCTGATGAGGGAAAAAGAGTGCACCGAATTCCCCCAACGATGAATCGAAAATGTGAAACCTTGGTAAAAAATGGAGAATAACGGTAATGTCGAAGGCTCTCCTTTTTCTGAGGGCTCATTTGTTGATTAGCCGAAGGCTCGCTGTTGATGTCCCGGGGGCGCCAGAGGGGAGCCCCTCAATCTGGAGATCGAGGGCGCGATGGATGAGGGCAGTAGTTGAATTGTCACCGGGGGGTCCCCTGCTTGTTGATTAGTTGGTGATGGGGATATCCGGGGGCTCCCATTACCTGCATGTTGTAGGCTGTCCGTCAATGAGGCATACTTCCCGGGGGCAATTCGGCCCTTACAGTGCTGAGGGGGAATCCCCGAGGGGTGGCCCCATATGAAGCCTTGGGCTTCTGACGGAGTGATGCCGAAGGCGTCCGTTATGTACTGTGTGGGGCACAAACCGGGGGCGTCTCTGGGTAAGTGTACCCGGAGGCTCTCCTTGATGAAGTGGAGTGAAGTAAGAAAATCCGGGGGCTTCCAGGATATAGCCGTTGGAAATATAGCCGTTGGAATATGTATCGGCGGGATATAGCCGTTGGGGGAGGAGGATACGTGGCGCGTGACGGTTGGCTGCCCGTGGGCGGCGTCACCGGTTGGGTGAAAACACGGCGCGTAATGATGACGGTCAGTCCGGAGGCCCGGTTTCCGGGCCCAAGCCCGGATTCCAGCGCCTATAAATACCCCGGAGCCAGAGTCATTTCTTCTTGTGCGATCATCTGTCTTAGCGAAGCTCTGTCGGAATTTTTCTAGAGAGAGAAAATCACCCTCGATCACAGCAACTTTCCGAGGTCAGTTCTCCTTCCGCCCTTAGCTCCATTTGAGTATTTAGCTTTTGGCCTTAGGGTTAGTCTCTAGGACCCTTCAGGAACCCCCCTTTGTACGAGTTTCCCGACCCCTCGCCTTTTAGAAGTAATGTCGTCAGCTAGTGATTCCCAAGACATCTCCGGGGAGGCTTCAGTGAACGTTGAAGTGGCGTCTGACGTGGAATCCTCGAGCGAGCAGCTCTCGGTCATCGATGATAGGGCCGTAGCCGAGGCGATACAGGGTGACCTTCGGCTTGAGCTCGAGGCCGAAGACTTCGAGCAGGTGAACGCGGATGAAGAGCTTGCTATCGCCTGTCAAGTGGCCGAGGACGAGGCCCAGAAGGAGGGCCTGAAGGTGACTGTAGCTATCCCTCCCCCTCGGTGTGATACTGAAGCTGGGAGCTCCCGGCCTCTAGACGCTGTACCCCTCAGTGTGGCCCCAGGGCAGAAGAGAAAGAAGGCGAGGACGGCTCCGAAGAAGAAGCAAGCTGCCGACGACGCTGGCCAGCCAGTGGGACTGCCCGAGGGCTATTCTTTCCTGAATACGGCCGCCTTGGAGGTCAAAAATAAAGCTACCCGAGGGGAAATGATGGCGGTACAATTTTTGGTAGGGCCTTCGGCGCAAGTGGTAGAGCCAAAGCCGGATGATGTGCTCCTTCGTGCCCCCGACGGCTGTTTTGCCGTACATCTGCTTTCGGTGGAGCTGGGTCTCAGATTTCCCCTTCATCCCTTCGTGTTAGAATATCTACGCTTCGTCAAGCTAGCCCCCTGCCAGTTGACCCCGAACAGTCACTCATATCTGGCAGGGTTCCTGTCACTGTGCCTCAGCCGAAGGGTCCCCCCTACTCTGGAGCAATTCTTTCTGTCGTTCAACTTGTGTCGGGGGGGGGGGGGGCATTCGAATGCCGGGGGCTATGGTAATTTGCAGCAGCTCCCGAAGTTCAGGATTTTTGATGAGGCGCCTTCGTCTCACAAGGGGTGGAAAGACAAGTTCTGCTATATCCGTTTGGCCGAGAACCCCTTCTCCGCCCCGCTTGGTGATAGGTTTCGGCGGCACCTGAAGGCAGAAGGGTATGCCCTCGAGAAAAATGGGCGGGTGTTGTCCAAGAAGCCGGAGGGGTCCGATAAGCATGTGTCCATCAAAGGCGCAACGCTCTCCAGTGAGTTGTACAAGCTCGGCTTCCGTCGGTACCGGCTGATGGGGGAGAAGGAGGAAGGCTACCCCATGATTGATCGCGTATATGAGAGTGCCGAAGGTTGTTGCAATGCCGAGGGCTTCAATTCTCATACTTAGAAAAATTTCTTTTTTTTTTTGCTTTGTTGTAGTAGTGAACTAACCCTTGTGTGCCTTCTTGTGTTTCAGGACCAGATATGGACGCTCGGAACCTTGTCAAGCTGAAGAGACAACTTGCCAGGGAAGAGCAGAAGAAGGAGGCCCCGCACAGCAGAGGGCGGTCGATGAGATCTTCCCCAAGGCGGGAGCGGCCGAAGAGGCCAAGGAGGTGGGGCCCGTCCCGGAGGCCGCCGTCGGGGGCTCCCCCGGTCTGGAACCGAAGAGGAAAAGGCTTGGGAAGGACCCGGCACAACCGGAGGGGAAGAAGAAGAAGAAGGGGGCCCCGGAGTTGAAAGAAGCCCCTGTTGTGGTCGTAGATGAATCTTCTCCCCCCAAGCCTTCAGGTCAAGCCACTGATCTGACATGGCCCCTGGACAAGGTCCAATTCTCCATCACGAAGGGGACTGCTATCATGCACGGGACCCTGAACCCGAAGGAGTTTTTGAGGGGTGCCACCCCTCCGACCGATAAGTCTGTGCTCTCCCGTCAAGCCGACGATGTCCTATGCTCTAAGGTTCTGATGGCCTCGGTTACGGTAAGGTTCCCTCCCTCTCTTTTGTAGGTAACTTCTTCTTTACGTGTGTAGTGGCTTAACCTCCGGTAATTCATGTTTGCTTTCAGGCAAGCCTTGGCCTTGGCGAGCTGGTCCAGAGGATAGAGCAGTATGACTCGGAGAAGAAGAAAGCCGATGAAGCACTGGCTGAGGCCCGAAGGCAGCTCAAAGAGGCCGAGGACGCTCGCAAAGCTGAGCAAGAGGCTTTCAAAGAAATCCTCGAGGGCTCCAAGACGGTGGCCAGGGCCGAAGGCAAGGCAGAAGCGGAGAAGGCTGCGGCCGATGCTGCCAAGAAAGCCGCGAAGGATGCCGAGGAGGCCCGGATCAAAGCTGTCGCCGAAGCCCGGGAGGACGCTGTTGCCGCTTTTGCTGAGGAGGGATGGAAAGCCGAAGGTCGGCAGGAATGGGTGGCTTCGGTGGTGGAAGCTTCGGTGAACGAATGGGTGAAAGGCCCAGGCGTAATGTGGTTGGCCCGAAAGGGGAAAGAGTATTATGACGGGGGTGAGTACTTTACTCAGGCCCTTGTATATCGAAGGTTGTCCCGGCATTTTGGGGTGGACCCGAAGGCCTTTGATCCGGCATCCTATGGACTCCCTCCCCTTCAGCCAGACCCCAGGGTTCCCCTCCCTGAAGGTGTTGCGAGGCCTGATTTGGAAGACTCCATGCTGATGGCTGAGGGCAGTGACGAAGAGGAGGAAACCGGGGATGATGCCGCATCTAAGCCTGCAGTAGAGGACGCCTCCGGGAATGCCGTTGTTGATTTGTAACCTGTACTTAGTAAATATTTGAAACTTCTGTTGTAATGAACACCATTGATCCTTCAGCTTCGGCCTGTTTGTAACAATTACATTTACTCCTTTTTGTGGTGATTGATGGATGAGTGTTAGCCTTCGGGCATTGTATATATATGACTTGTTTGATTTAATTCATTCCTTCTTGAATGTATGCCGTCGTTTTTTCTTGAGTGTATGCCTTCGCCCTTTTTGAATGTATGTCTAGGACTTAGAATATTTTCCAAGTGTTTGAACACGGTTGTAGCCTTCGGTAGTTGGGCACCCGAGGGCTCAGCAATAATTAGGACTTAGAAAATTTTTCTAAGTGTTGATTCCTTGTATACTGTAGCCTTTGATTGATAGGTAGCCTTCGGCTATTAGGTCCCTTGAGATGAGGGTGAAATATGTAGGACTTAGAAAGATTTCTAAGTGTAGATTTTCCTTTGGGAGCCTTCGGGAGATGGTATCCCTTCTTGATGTATGAGTAGTTGACCGGGGGAACAATATGTAGGACTTAGAAAATTTTCTAAGTGTTGTTGTATCGCATAGCCTTCGGCTATCATATTCCCTTAGTTGTAATATTGATTGGGCCGGGGGCCCAATCTTTAGGACTTAGAATTTTTTCCAAGCGTAAATTGATGTTGAGTTTCCGGATGTAGATCCCTCCGGGTATGTGAATAGGACCCTTCGGGTGATCGTGAGGCCCTTGTGTTGTATGAGTATTTGACCGAGAGCCAAATATGTGGGACTTAGAAGAATTTCAAAGTGTGTCGTTGATGTTGAACCTTCGGTCAGTGAGGAGTCCGTCCGAGGGGCAAATATTTTGGAATAAGCCCCCTCGGTTGGCCTTTGATGATTTGTAATAGATGCCTTCGGTTGTCTAGTGATATATTAGCCTCCGGTTTGTTGTCGTTTTCCGAAGGTGTGGACTTAGGAAAAGTGTGGAATCCTGTTGTTCTAAAGAAAGCCGGTGAGGAGTATGTGCCCTCGGCATTCATTTGAAAAGTTGTAGAGTTTGACTTAGCCAGTTGTGTTCCTTGTAAAGGGGTAGGGGTCCTCGGTATTAGTGCATAACAGATGCCTTCGGTATTTGTTTGAAGTACCGTTTAGTGGACTTTGGATAGTCAAGTCCCTTTGTATTGTTGACGCCTTCAGTGCTTGTGTGACCGGAGGTGACCAAGCAGTGGACTTAGCCGTTTCTTGATGATCTTTGTTTGAGTAGTATCCTTCGGGAAATAGGAGCCTTCAGTTACCGGAGGTGTTCCCGTGGGGAGCCCTCGGCATGTTGTGATCTGTTGGAGTGTACTCTTTGATTTCTCGCTGAGTCTACTCCCCTTCACCCTTTTTTTTTGGTTGGTGGTGAAGGGAAGACATCAAGAAACTTGGTTTCTTGGTAAGGCTGGGCCTATCAGGAGACCATCAGAATACACCAATGGCTCTCCTCCCTCGGGTTAACCTTCCGAGTTCCGAGGGGATCGAGGGTCGTTTCCTGGGTACAAGATATGATGGTCTGTAACCTGCCTCCCCTTGGGGGATGGCGCGGAAAGCGCCTCATTTTTGAAAGTCGTCCCCTCGGCGCTAGACATAGTCCGTGGCCTGCCACACCCTTGGGGTGGTGACGCGGGGAGCGTTTCGGTTTGGAAGTCGAATCCTGGGCATTTCTCGTGCCTGTCATATCCTTAGGGTGATGACGCGGAAAGCGTTCCGTTTTTGAAAGTCGAATCCTGGGCATTTCTCATGCCTGTCATACCCTGGGGGTAGTGACGCGGAAAGCGTTTCAAGGAAGGGTTTTCATTTGCACATTAGTTGCAAATGGCCGGGGGCACTACGTGCCGCCGGCACCGATGGTGGCGCCTTCGGTATATGCGTCCTCGTGGGGTACGGCTTTAGAAACAACACTTGGTGTTAGTTTCGATATGTAGCCCCCGGTACTTGGTACCGAGGGGTCTTCTGTAGGAACACCTAGTGTTCTTCTTCTATTTGACGTTGATGGGTGAGTTGTGTACCCCCGGTACTTGGTACCGAGGGGTCCTCTGTAGAAACACTTGGTGTTCTTCTTTATGATGTTTGAAGGTGGAGATGTGTACCCCCGGCACTGGGTGCCGAAGGGAAATGAAACACTTGGTGTTTCTTGTCGTCGGTGATGGGAGTTCCCTCCCTCGGTACTTGGTACCGAGGGGTCTTGACTGAAAACACATGGTGTTTTCACTGTTGTCGTAGGTGTTGATGGTGTCCGCCCTCGGCACTTGGTGCCGGAGGGGGTACTCCTCGTGGTGAGGCCTGGGGCCTGTAGTCAGTACGAGGACTTGGCCGCTCATAAGTGTTTTGTTCCTAATGTCTTGAATGTGTCTTCATTCTTCAAAATTGGAGGCCTTGGGCCATAGGATAGTACATTCACTAGTTATGAGGGCTTGGCCGCTCTTACATTATTGATAAAATTTAACTAAGTGGTGTACATTCCAGTGCCTAGGGACCTCTTTCCCGTTGGGGTGTTTGAGCTTGTAAGTCCCGGGCTTGATGATGGCTGCTATGATGTAGGGGCCTTCGAATTTTGGTGCCATTTTTCCTCCCTCGGTTGGTTGGCTGGCTTCCCTCCTCCGGAGGACATAGTCCCCCACTTGAAATTCTCGGGTGCGAACCTTGGCGTCGATGTAGCCTTTGACTTGCCTTCGGTAGTTCTCTGCCCGGATGAAGGCTTGCTCCCGGCGTTCTGAAAGGAGGTGGAGGTCGAGGGCCATGTTGCTGTCGTTGACCTCGGGGTCATATTGGATCACCCTTCGGGTGGGAAGGGTGACTTCCGTAGGAGCTTTGGCTTCAAAACCGTAGCAGAGGGAGAAGGGTGTTTCACCTGTTGCTCGCCGAGGGGTGGTGCGGTAGGCCCAAAGGATGTTGTGGAGTTCTTCCACCCAGCCACCGCCCTCAGCCTCCAGCTTCTTTTTGAGGCCCTCGAGCAAGGTCCGGTTGGCGTTCTCTACTTGCCCGTTGCCTTGAGGGTAGGCAACGGAGGAGAAGGTGTGTTTGATGCCCCATGCCTCCAGAAGGGCACAGAAGGGGGTTGCCTCAAATTGTGTTCCATTGTCGGAGATGATCTGCTGGGGGACGCCAAACCTTGTGAGGATGTTCTTGAGAACGAAGTGACGACACTTCGCCTCTGTGATGCTGGCGAGGGGCTCAGCCTCCACCCACTTGGTAAAGTAGTCGATGGCCACAATGATGTACCTGTTGTTGGAGGTACCCCTCGGCAGAGGGCCCACAAGGTCTATCCCCCATCGAGAAAAGGGGACGGATGTGCTGATGGGGGCATAGTTGACCGCTAGCCTGTCGGGGGCTTTCTGGAAATGTTGGCATGCGGTGCACCTTCGGGCAAGGTCAGCACAATCCCTGGCCATGGTTGGCCAGAAGTAGCCCTGGAGAATGAGCCTTCGGGACATGGAGAAGGGTCCCTGGTGAGCCGAGCAAGTGCCACTGTGCACCTCCTCCATTGCGACCTCAGCTTCATCCTGATGAAGGCACCGAAGTAGCGTGCCATTGTAGGACCGTTTGTAGAGCCTTCCGTCTTCGATGGTATAGCTAGGAGCCCTCAGTCTTGCTAGTTTAGCGCGGGTCTCGTTCTCGGGTAGCTGCCCTGTGGAGATGAAGGTGATGATATCCGAGATCCAGTCCTCTTGGCGTTGTTGTATGTTCATGACGGGGCTCGCATGGATGCTTGAGAGACTGAGTTCCTCAATTTTAGCAATCTTAGAGATGTGCTCGGGGGAATCGGCCGAGAGCTTAGATAGTATGTCGGCCTCGGAGTTCTGAGCCCTCGGTATTTGAGTGAGAGAATGTGCCTCAAATACCTTAAGCAACTCCTTGGCCGCTTCCTTGTACTGTTTCATTCTTCCCTCCTTGGCCTCATATTCCTCGGAGATTTGGCCAACGACCAACTTGGAGTCGCATTTGATGTGGATCTGTCGAGCCTTCATGTTGGCAGCCAGCCGAAGGCCACATAGGAGGGCCTCATACTCGGCCTCGTTGTTGGAGACTCTGAAAGAGAAGCGGATTGCATAATAGGCTCTGAAGCCCTCGGGAGTAATGAGGACCACCCTTCCCCCGCATGCTTTGATCGCGGAGGAGCCGTCGGTGTAGAGGGTCCACCAGTCGTCCGAGGCAACCGAGGGCTCCCCGTCCGTGGCTGCCCTTGCGGTACACTCCGTCACAAAGTCCGCCAGGGCTTGGCCCTTGATGGCAGGCCTTGGACGGATGTCAATGTTGTACTGGCTCAAGAAGATAGCCCATTTCACCATGCGGGAGGAGCTGGTGGGGCTCCTCATGAGGGCGCCGAGGGGTTGATGAGTGAGGACCTGAACCGGGTGAGCCTGAAAGTAGTGGCCCAACTTCTTGACGGTCCAAACGATGGCTAACACTGTTTTTTCCACAAGAGAGTACCTGAGCTCGGCCTCCCTTAGGGTCTTGCTTACATAGAAGATGGCATGTTGGATGCCGTCTTCCTCCCGGATGAGTACGGAGCTGATGGCTGCCGGGCTGACCCCAAGGTAGAGATAGAGGGTCTCCCCTACCTTTGGTTTTGAGAGCACAGGGGGTGAAGATAGATATCGCTTGAGTTCGTCGAAAGCCCCCTGGCATTCCGGAGTCCATAGAAAGCCAGCCGTCTTCCTCATGATCTGGAAGAAGGGTAGAGATTTCTCCGCTGATTTAGATAGAAAGCGGTTGAGGGCTGCCAGGCGGCCCATCAACCGTTGAACTTCCTTCACATTGCGTGGGGGCTCCATGTTGATGATGGCCTGGATCTTCTCGGGATTGGCCTCAATACCCCTTCGGCTCACCATGTAGCCCAAGAACTTGCCCCCTTGGACGCCGAAGGTGCACTTCTTCGGGTTTAGCCGAAGGTTGAACTTTTGCATGATGGCGAAGATTTCCCGGAGGTCGTCAGCATGGCTGGAAGATTGTTTGCTCTTGACGATCATGTCGTCGACATAGGCCTCCATGGTGCGCCCTAGGACGGCTTGAAAGACCCGGGCCACCATCCGGGTGTAGGTGGCCCCCGAGTTCTTTAGGCCGAAGGCCATTACTAGGTAGCAGAAGATGCCCTCGGGAGTCATGAAGGCAGTTTTTTCGGCGTCTTCCTCGTGCATGAAAATTTGGTGATACCCTCGGAAGGCATCGAGTAAGGACATGATCTCACACCCTGCGGTCTCATCCACCAGTTGATCAATATTTGGTAGGGGGAATGGATCCATAGGGCACGCCTTGTTGAGATCGGTGTAGTCCACGCACATGCGGAAGGTAGGAGGCTTCTGTGCGAGGACTACGTTCGCCAGCCATGAGGGGTATTTTACCTCCTTGATGTGCTTAATAGAGAGGAGCATGGCGACCTCCTTCTTCACAAATTCCCTCCTTTCTGCGGAGAGGGGTCTTCTTCGCTGCTGTACTGCTTTTGCCGAGGGGTCCACCGAGAGGCGGTGGGTGATGACCCTTCGGCTGATTCCCGGCATGTCCTCCGGCCCCCATGCAAAGACAGTGGAGTAGGCGCGGAGGGCGTCGGTGATACCGGTCTTCTGATCTTCAGGGAGCTGGGCTCCAATCTTCACGACTCTCTCCGGCTGGGCCGGATCGAGCGCAAAGTCTTCTACGTCCTCGGCTGGTTCAGCCCTCGGCCTTTTTTCTTCTTGGTCGATGGTTCCGGTGATGGTGTCAACACGGAATTCCGTCTTACTTACCTTCTTAGTGACTTGAAGATAGCAGGCGCGGGCGATTTTCTGATTCCCCCGGGAGTAGCCAATGCCCCCCTCAGCGGGAAACTTGAGGCAGAGGTGCCTCATGGAGATGATAGCCTCGAGGTCCTCAAGGGCTGGCCGGCCGAGGATGATGTTGTGGGCGCAGTCGATGTTTACGACGACGAACTCCACTTCGAGCTGGGCTCTATGGAGCCCGTCGCCGAAGATCACCGGGAGGGTTATTACCCCCTCGGAATCAATAGTGTCGCCGGTGAAGCCGGCAAGAGGGGTCTTAATGGGCCGAAGGGACCACCTCTCCAGATGCAGCTCTCTGAAGGTGCTGAGGTACATTACATTGACGGAACTGCCCGTGTCAATGTAAGTTCGGTGAATGATGGTGTCGTTTATTTCAGTCCGAATCACCAAGGCATCCCTGTGAGGAGAAGAAGTAGGAGGGAGATCTGCGTTGGTGAAGGTGATGGGTTCCTCCCTCAGTCGCTTTACCGGGGGCATATGAGTGACTTCCGCCACGTAAAGCGATTGAGCCCACTTCTTTCGCTGGCTGGTGGAATCGCCCCCTGTATTGCCACCGGTGATCATGAGGATGTGGCGTTTTTTCTCCTGGTAATGGGGATACTCCTCCTCTTCTTCTTCCAAGTTTCCGATCTCCCTCTTCTTGCCGAGGGGGATGGTGTTCGGATTCACCCAAGCGTTCACCTTCGTGTGGTGCCCTCGGGGAGGCCCCTGATGAGAAGGTCCCTCCTGCCGAGGGCTCTGAACAAATTGGGACAGGTGTCCCGCTTGTATTAATCTCTCGATGGCTGTTTTTAGCTGGTGGCAGTCATCGGTCCTGTGCCCCTGATGCCGATGGAAACGACAGTAGGGGAACTGAGGGTTGATAGCATGTACTTCCGGGGGTGCGCGAGAATCGCGCTCAACAAGGCCCCTCTCTTCGACAAAATCAAGGATGATGCTGACGGGGTGCGTCAATGGTGTCCGGGGGCGGTCCAGGAGAATGGGTTGTGCCCAAGTCTTGGGGCTGCTCTTGTAACCTCCCCCGGGCTTGGTTTGGCCTTGCCGAGGGCGGTCATCAGAGGGTCCTGAAGACTTGGGGTGATTCAGAGGAGCCCCCGGCCCCCGGTTGTTCTCATTGTCAGCCCTCGGGGGTTGCTGATCTGGGTGCTGATGGTATTTCTCCACCTCCTCGGCCTCAGCGTATCGGTCCCCCCGCTGCAGGGCCCTTATGTAGTCGCGGGGGGGGGGGGGGGGGGGGTTCAATGATGAGGCTCCTTGAAAAGTTACCGGTGTGGAGGACGGTTTGCAGGAGGGCCAGGAGGGTCCCGTCGTTAGCACCGTCGACTTTGTCGGCCTCCGTTCTCCAGCGTTCCAAGAAGTCCCGAAGGGTCTCATCCCTCTTCTGGCGTATGGTTAGGAGGTGGGAGAAGTGCTTCCTCGTGCGACGCCTCCCGGCAAATTGTGTCAAGAATCGCTGGGCGAGTTCTTGCCACGAATCAATGCAGCCCTCGGGCAACCGGTTGAACCATTCGTATGCCGGCCCCTCTAAGGTGGAGAGGAACCAACGACACAAATATTCGTCCGACGCCCCTACCATCATCATGCTGTTCTGATATTTGCTGTAGTGTTCCTGGGGGTCCGTCTTCCCGTTGTAGGGCTGTTGTGTTGCCCTCGGTATTTTTCCGGGATCCGGGCCGCCAGTACCCTTGGGGTAAATGGCGTCCGGGTCCGGAGCTGGATGACGGGTTCCCCGGAGCCCTCAGCCACCTTCTTCTGTAATTCCTCCATTTTGGCCATCATGGCCTCGTATTTGAGGTCTGAATGAGGAGTGGAGGTGGCGGCGTGAGCTTTGTTGGCCTCCATTTCGTCAAGCCGGCGTTGGAGGGCCGCAATAATTTCGTCCCGGGGATCCTTCGGGAGGGTCTCCGCCCCCTGCGAACAAACCCGGGCCGAGTGGGCCTGGTTGATTTGGTGGCGAGCATCATCGGCATGAAGGGGTGCCTTGCCTTTGTCTCGAGGGGCACGCTCCTCGTCTGCCCTCGAGACAGACCCTCCACTTTCCTGGGGCCTTTGGAGTGCTTTCCCTCCGAGGCGGTCTTGGACCCCTCGGCGGTCTGGCCCTCCTCCGAGCCGGTTGAGGGCGGAAGTGCGGGGCCTTTCTCTGTTGTCATTGTGGCGGTCCCGGGACTGAACTTCTTGGGAGGACGTACCTTGGGCCACTACCCCTTCGTCGTTCCTAACCCGAGGGGTGGGGTTTTCCGAAGGGGTGTGGCAGAGGGGGAAGTATGATGTTCTCCCCAACCTGGGGTTGAGCCGGAGCCAGGGTGCCGAAGGCACCCGGGTTCTGAGTGAGCGTTTGGATGAAGGCGGAGAGCGCCGATTGCACGTCGATGGTGAGAACCGGAGGGCTGACTTGGTCATCGCTCCGGTTTTTCTTCTTGGCCTCGATGCCGAGGCGGGCATCGGGGGCATTCTGTTGGATCTGAAGGCGTAGGTCGACAGCCGCCTGTTCCAGCCCAGCGATGACACCGCCCTCGGGAGCCCTGTGAGAGGCTTCGGGGGCGTTGACGTCGCCGAGGGCCAGGTTCTTGTCTTCTACGTTTTTGGAGTTGGCACGTGTTGTTCTCACCATTTTGGTGGAGGGCTAGTGTTTGGCGATGGGGGAGGGTTTCTTACTCGATTGTTCGACCTCTCAATGAAAGCACCAAATGATGGATAGTATACCCGGGGGTAGCTTATCCGAGGGTTATTGCAGGGAATAACTTAGAGAGAAGTCAGAGCACAAGTAAGTAAGAGAGAGAGTGTATTGAGTATGAATGTCGTGGTTTACAACGGGGAAAAGGGGGTGCTATTTATAGTAGCAATAAATGTCGGACAGGGACACGTGTCAAGCATCCATTGGCCGAGAGGTCACCTCATCCGGTTGGCGCTGGCAACCGCATGTGGCCGCATTTAATGCGGCTGTTGGATGGGACGTTGTACAGGGTACGGTGATCTGTACGCGCGTGAAGAGGAGATCTTGTCGAGTGAGGTGCCTTCGGCTATAGAGCAGTAGCCGAGGGCTCCTCAAACCGAGGGCACCCTGGTGCCGAGGGCTACTGTTCTCGCCGTTTTCTCCCAGTTTCTTAGTTTGCTTGAGAAACCCGTTCTGTGAGATTTTAGAGCCTTCGGCCAGGGGGTCGAAGGCACCCCTGGTGCGCTGTGGGCTGCTTGGTACTCCGGGCGCCATGATTTGGGCCTGTTGGGCCTTTACTGGAGTAGTAGGAGTCTGTGGGCCGGGGGTTCCCGGGCCATATACTCCATCATGATTATTTATGCTCATTTATAGAAAAATTGAATTCAAAATACTTTTTCTTAGTAAAATAAAGAGAAAATTAAATGAAAAATAGTTAAATTGATCGTCTATAGTTAACTTCAGCCAATACAGCCAGAAAAGTAACTCTAACTTTACTTTTTCTTATTACTACAAAATTCAAATGCATATTTATGAGATGCAAACTTGAAAAGAAGTACGAAATATTAATGAAAGTAGGTAACTAATGTTTTATTATAAAAATAACCTATACATGAATAAAATAAATTAAAGATGATGGGTAAAAATGTGTCTCTTATCTATAGTGGCTAGGTCAGAAGAATCCGAATGGAAGTGAATAATTGACATTATTATTTGTACAAATTACCGAATTCACTTTTTTGGCACGAATATTCACATTCATATTCATTGAATAACCATATCTTATTTTATATTCGTGTCCACTTAATTCGTTATATTCAAATATATTCAAAAATCTATTCGAATGTTTAAACTTGAAAAGATTAAATGTCAAAATTTTCAAAGTAATTCGAATTATAATTTGTAGATTGTTTTCTATATCACTTTTCACAACACACACATACATCCAGAGGCGGACCCAGAAAATACATCTTGGAGGGGTGGTAATTTAAACAAAAAAAATGTAGACGCTCAAAAAACTTTTATTTTAAATGAAGCATTAAAATAGTACACAATAGACAAAAAATAGAAGAAGAGACGTAATATTATTACAGAATAGTAAAGTTAATACCTTAGAATTGTGCCTGACACTCCTTCAACGAGATAAATTCCTCAATCACGGCTTTTGAGTCAAAACTTTTAGCAATTTCTCTTTCAATATAAACAACAAGGTTGTCTGCAAGATACGTATTACTCCTCCATTTTATTTTGAACTCTAGTTTTTATAATTTTCATTGCTGAAAAAGTCCTTTCTGTTGTTGTTGTCGATACAAGTAGAGTCAACAAAAGTCGAACCAATCTATCAAGAAGAAAGTACACTTTTGACAGTAATTGCTTGTCTGCTTCTTCATCTTTCAGTTATTCATTATATCCTTCACAAAAGTCGAATTATAATTCGTAATTTGTTTTCTATATCACTTTTCACAACACACACATACATGATACATCTTGTTTAAGTGAAAAGATGTCTTTGCATTAAAAGTGGAAATAACCCTTGATTATTTAAAAATTGATTATTTGATCACTTAGAAAGGTATGAAATATATCATTTTGAATCGAGTTATACGATTCTATGATTGCAAAAATATGTGAAACAAAAATATACTACCTCTGTCCCGATGGACTTTGACAAGTGCAAAGTAGGTGAGAAATAAGAATAGTAAAAACTATGTGGTTGAAATTTGTGCAGAGGAGAGAGAAATGTGCAGAACCACAAATTAGTTGCTATAATAAGAAAGTGACAAAGTTTTTAGGGACAACCAAAAAAGGAAAGTTGGCAAAGTCCAATGAGACAAAGTACGATATACTAAATATTAAAAGTACATATGTAATATCTTACACTGCACATTCGTAAGGTAGCGTTGTAGTCCGGTGGGATCAAGGCACGCCTAAGTTTCTATGTAGCTTTGCCACCCGGTTCAATGCCCACCTATGTTACCCTAATTTAACTCCTTAGGGAGGGTTTACATACATGCTGACAAGAGTTTATAGGGTAATCGAGACTTTCCTAAGTTATACCGTTAAAAACACTGCACCCTGCACATTCGTCGCTAAGAAATTATTACTAAATACGTAGTAATTTTTTTGGAATGCGTATTTTGGTGTGAATTCTGACTAATGCAATTCTAATTTCTAACTATAGTGCACTTTTTATACCTATGCAATTTTACCTAATGCCTAGGATTGAAGACTTGAAGAGTGAAACACTTTCAGAGTTTCAGAGAGGATGCGAATATGCGATTGGGGAGAGCAATGGATAACCTAAAACCAAACCGGTGCCAATTATCCAGGATCACACTTCCAGTATCGGGACCATGAACCTTTCGGTCTTGGTACCGGGACTGGTAATAAGAAAAAAATAGACTTGTTTTTTATGATGGGTTAATAATCTCTATAAAAAATCACACAAACTTGAATCTCTACCCTTCTTGAGGCTTTAAGCCTTAAGGTATTAAAAACTACTACGTAATTAGACTTAAAAAAACTACAGTACTACGTAGTTAAAAATTACAACTGCAGCAACAGTATAAGGTGAGGACTAAATAATAAAACTAATAATAAGCAGACTGCTATATGGAGCAGGTGGGCACCTCATTAACGCAGCAATCAGCAATCAGCAATCAGCAATCATCTACACTGCTCTGGGCCTGTTACACCAAGGAAAAGAATGTATAATCTTTTGTAATTTGACTGCGATTCAAATAAACAAATGCATGAATAGCTAGGGGAAATTACAAGGGATGAAGGTGAACTCACAATATCGAGGAGGCTACAATCCACGACAAGACAAGAGCAGAAATTGCATGGAAAGTCAAAGCAATGACATCCATGCCAACCGACAGCATGTAGCGTCGGCAAATATACTCGTGCTCCTTGTAGGAAATGGAGTTTGTAGCAATAAGCTGAAGCACTGCCACGGCCGAGGATATAGCTCCTAGCGACAATGTTAAAAAAACCTGCATCATGACACACAGGCCAGGCACGCACCAAACCAATAGATTACTGCTCAGACAAAGCCGAAGAGAAACTGGATAAAATATATTTTAGCGCTGGTTTGGTTGCCAGTTCTACCTTATTTCAGTTATCAGCCGAACAAAAAGAATAAGAAGGTTTTGACTTTTTTAATTTTATTTTGGTGACATGTATGTTACCAAACCAATTTCCTTTTTAACATATTCAGTCTAGACATTAAAAAGCAAAACCTTAAAAACAGAAAACGAAAGAGAAAGAGGAGAAAAAGAGATTCAAGTACCCAATCAACAAGAGTCACCATCACATGGGCATGAGAGGGTAAGTCCCCCCGAAACACCATAACCTTAAGATCACGGCATACAAGCACAAAGCTCCACGTAGTTTCAACACACTGTTGAATCAGTAGGACTCTGAAAGAAACACAAGTTAAATCCAGAATATAAAAAGATAGAATTATAATAATAATTATCATATAGACAAAATTATGAAAAAGACAAAACATACATATAAAGCACTACCTGAAAGGAGTAACTTCCGTTAGACCAGGAGCAGAAAAACTAATAGAAACAGAAACTGCAGCGAAAATGCACTGAAATATCCGAAGTACTAGCCCGCTAATCTTCCCAGGTCCACCAAACATTTGCCTCATGTCTCTAGTTGGTGTCTAGCTTTTCACTGCCAAAGCAACCATTGTTAGTGTTTTGTACTCCCAAAAACATGTAAAGTTCGTGTATTGCAATATGCTTCCATGAAGGTGAATTATATTCTATAGTCCGTTAAATCATAAAATACATGATGCCACTTGTTATGTTAGGATCTACATGGCATACCTCCACATATCACTCATAAGTGTACCTAGTGGTGTCTCGGGTAGCTTATAATGGAACAGACCAAACTAAATACAGAGTGAACTTCTCAGACAAAACATTGCACCATAGAAAGTTAAAAATAATCACATACAAGAAAATAGCTGTATCAGATGAGTAATTAAGTTGGAACTAGGTATGTCTGGCTCCTCTCTAGCTGCATTATGAGTGTAACTTTGACATAAATTGTTCCGCTTATTCCTATGTTAGCTAAAGAATTCCAAAAATAAATATAAACAGAAATAGCAAAGTTCCAAATGTGTGTACGAAAAAATATTTATCAAGTGAATTCACATAGAAATGCTTTAAGAAACCACGTTCATCAGGATTAAAATAGCATGTTTTCACGAATAGTAAATTTATCCCTCTAAAGTTTATGTCTTATCTGAAAAAGAAGACACAATGACTAAACAAGAAACATACAAAGAAACCAAGAATATAAAGGCAATATGTGTGTTTGTCATCAAATCCAGTTAAATGTATTTATACGTTTAATAACAGCAACAACAACAATAAAACAATAGTCTTAACTAACAACTTTCCATATAAAATTATTAACGGCAGACTTCCAAGTGATTCAAGTTTGTGAAGTTATTTTTTGAAATCCCATGTAGATTCTAGACTGATCTGTTTCCTTACCCTACTCCTCCAAATTACTCTAGACTCTGGACTTAAGTCAATATAGTGAAGAAAGCTAATTAACAGTACAAGAGTATTCAATATACCTTGTGATGCAGGAGGGAGGTCTGAGATACACCCAGAGAAGAGTAGGGGAAGTTGTGCTGTGAAGAGAAGAACAAAGGAAAGGGTTCTTAAAGGAGATAGCAGCAGTAGCATCATAATTCATAACCAGTTTCTAATTTTAATCCAGCATCCTTTCCAGTAGTACCATAATGATAAGGCCTAAAATGAAAAACCTTTGTCTTTGTGCTTATCTATGTGCATATCTGACGGAAAATGGTCCTTCTGCACAATGTGCATGTGACAAGCATGCCTAATAACAAATCAATGGCATAAAAGTACTACCATTAGGCAATTTTGTGGCCCTCATACTTTTCTTATTAAAGGAAAAACTAATCTCAATAGTTTATACTTTTGTAAGATGTAAAATTAGTAGCAATATTTGTATCTGCTAAATAAATATTTGGAATCCGTTTACTGCAGAGAGGTGAGCCAATACCATAAACGAATCGGAGAATGTCCAAATGTCCAATTCACATTTCAAAAATTTTTAAGCATTTCAACAAATTTTAGATCAATAACTACAAGTACCAAATGAATATAGGAAAAATTGACAGTTTTGACACCATAAATTAATAATAAAACACTCACCGTAATCACTGCGTTGCCTAGGTATTCCGGCGGTGGAGGATTGCGGCATGCTGGTTGACTCGCCTGAACTCTCCTCAGCGTACAGCGAGTCCGCGACTGGGCGGGGTCGACTAGGCGTCGTCTAGTGCGCCAGATGGAAGACATTACCCGGCCGATTTTTCCCGGTGCTGAGTAGTCTGGGAGCAGAGTAGCGCGGTGGCAAGTCACAGCCTAGTTGCTCCGACTTCGACTATTTTCGAAGTCACCGCCGGGTGTTTGAAAGTAACGGCCACTCCGGCGCACCTTAAAACTTACTCACAAATATAACAGAAAATCTGTATATCAGGCTTACCGTACCCAAAAATAT